TAGGAAATATAATTTTGAAAACATTATATAGAAATTCTTACCTTAAAGGCCCAAACAAAGCCTGACAAAGTGTATTTCGACTCATCGCCACGCAAACTTTTGCGGTCATCAAAGGCAGACGACAACTTAGTCCAGGTAGCTTTCCATATATACAAACCCCACGGAAATAGATTCCATGCATTTAGGTCCTATACCAATAATATTAGCTCCTGAGGAATAGGTTGTCTGGCCTCTCTGCCTAAACAGTCGGCATACAAAAGTAGTAGAAGGCATACTCGGACAACATCGACGTCATTCATCCAAGTAAAACCATCTTTCTTATTAAACAATTTCTTCAGGTCGTCGACGTGTAAGTTCGGCTTCTCTATTGACTCATCAGGAAAAACCCTGGATAACCATGATGGGCGGGTGATATGACGAGTGTACTGGCCTACATCATCGTGTTCGAATCATAGACCAGTGATTAAGCAGAACTCCTTCCGCCCAAAACAAGTATACGCCGGTGGAAAATGAAACCATATCTCTTCCTCACCACGTTGTATACTGTCGGGTAGATCGCTAGTCATGGTCTGAAGCCATAAATGGGTCAAATTAGCATCTCCACTCGGATGCTGTACTCTCAGCCATGGCCCGAAGCAGGTTTCCTCAAACAATTTTCTTTGTGCAGGTGAAAGCTTCGAAGCAATTGTAGTGGCTAGGCTAACTTTATTCCTTAATGTCAATGAAGCCGAAAAAAATTTCTACAAAAACAATAAACATACCAAGTTAGATATACCAAAAACTACACTGTGAAGATATACCAAAAACAATAAACATAAATAGTAGTTTATTCTTGAAACTAAAATTTGCAACACTGTTTTATCTTTTGGTTGAAATGAAAATCGCAACGCGAAATGAAAATCGCAACGAGAGAATCGCAACGCGAAATGAAAATCGCAATGCGATTTTGGTTTCGCGTTGCGATTATCTCGTTGCGATTTTCATTTCGCGTTGCGATTCTCTCGTTGCGATTTTCATTCCGCATTGCGATAGTCATTTCCGCGTTGCGATTTTCATTCTCGAAACTATTCTTCTTCTGCATTACTTCAACCAAAAGACAAAACAAAGACAAATACTAACTTCACAGGGTTAAAGACTAAATAGTTTAGCAGTATTGGCAACAATCGAATGAATTTAATAAGAAATCTAAGTGAAATGGTTAATCTATTATTGAAATTACCAGTAAACTTATCATCAATTTCAATATGAAAAACCTAAAATAATGCAAAAATTTCAAAATAAAAATAATTAAAAAAACTAACCCTCGGAGGTTGATTTTCCATTCCTGAATGATTGTGAGGGATTTCTGACCGTGAATGGTTGTGAGGGATTTCGCCCGCGATGGGGACGGAAATCTTCGGAGATGGGGACGGATTTCGCCGTAGAGAGTGAGAGATGGAGATGGGATTGAGTGTTGTGATTTTAGGTTTGAGGTTATGAGTTGTGATTACTGTGGACGGTTCAGTTTCCGATATATTAAGAAATTCGTGTTTGGAATTTGAAAAAAAATACGCGTTAATACGAATGGCGCTATGTAAATCGCATTGCGATAATCAGATTCGCATTGCGATTTACGTATTCGCATTGCGATTTTTCCTAATTCGCATTGCGATTTATGTAATCGCGTTGCGATTTACGTATTCGCATTGCGAATTAGGAAAATCGCAACGCGAATTTGGGAAATCGCAATACGATAGTCAGAATCGCGTTGCGAATCTGGAAACTGATTTGCGATACCGGAGATCGCGTTGCGAATTATCGATCGCATTGCGATTTAGTTGGCCATTTTGGCAAATCCAAAAAAAGTTGGTTAAAATCGTATATTATAAGGCATTTTTGGTCACTGGGGTTATTTTCTCTTAATTTATTTTTTTCATTTAAATGAATTATTAATTAAATAATTAAAGTGAGTTGTAGAAGTCCAAATGCACGACTTAAGCCCAAATTTTGATAAGGTCCATTAGTCCAAAAGTTTGACTTGGATGAAGAGTCCAATACATACTTTGCCCGTAAACATATGATGAATGGCGGGGATGTTAGTTTAGGTCAATTATAGTTGGGTCCCCCTTAGTTTATTTTCTCCTTGATTAAGTCCTTGATCAGTTTTCAATTTTTTCTAACATTTTCATGCGGGTATCTGTCTTATTTTTTTCCTAGGTAAACTCAAGCATACTTCACAGATAATATTATTCGAATCTATATTATTTAAGAAGAACATATCATTTTTTGTTATTCGGATCACTTCTTAAGTTTCAATTTTAAATTCATATTTATATTGAGTTTTTTATTTGATAGATTTTTTTTATATATTTTACAGTTGGAAGCACCTTTATTTTGAATTTATTTCTTTGTGATGAATTAGTTTTATTTCACATTAGTGATAATTTTAAATTAGATTAAATTTTAGAAATTCTATAATAACCTATCAAATATTTTCTTTAAAATAAATATCTTGAAAAAGTTCTCATAGTGGCAACTGATTGGCTCATAAAAATTGTACGTATTAATGTTGACCTAATTTTAAATTAAATATATTTATTGGATATCAATCGCACGTACTTAAAAAATTAGTACAACTTTTTTTAACATGTTAGAACCAAATCTTAATAAATATGAAAAACAGCCTTATCTAATCATGCCAAATCATAAAGAATAAAAATAAAACGAAAGCGTACATGGATTAATTGATAGATTGAAATCCTTGAATCTTTCCTGAAGATATAGTTCCCTTAAGTATAAACTCTCTGACAGGATAAGGGTAAATACGAGGTTGTCTATTTCTTAGAGACCATAAACCCTTTATATAGCTGATTTAAAAATATTTTATTATCTATACTTATAACTTTAATAGTTTCTACACTTTTATTTCTATAAAACTTCTAATATCTTATGACTTTATAAAATAATTGGTTACTTAATTTAAGTCATATTTTATGATAACAATAGACATTATAAATGTGTGCCCAAATTTATAAATTTTAATTCAACATAATAGTTTAAGGTAATTATAAGGTACTATATATTCATAATATTTTATATCCATCGATAGTACACACACAATCGTAATCACAATTTATTGAATAAAAAAACTTTTAAAAAATAACATTAATTATAATGAATACATGTTTAGCATATCCAAATTTTATTCGTCACGTTATAACAACGATGAGGCACGTGTCCCTTTCAGAATGGAAGATTAGCCTGCAAGTTGCACATATATATTTTTAGAGATCTGTGATGGTCATTACAGATAAGACAAGTGTTCCAATAAAATTTGGATGAATATTGAATTTCCCGATTAAAGATCGGATTTTGTTTTTTTAACACGTGGCTTCGTTTTCAATCAACTATGTGATCTGAATTAAGGGTTTAACTGAAAGTTCTTCGAGCTGGAATTCGATACTGTTGAACTAATTCAGCGTTTTAATTTATCGAGTGTGTTAAACTCAAGAAATTCAATGTTTTACTCAAATAACTTTCCGTGTAAAATTCTTGGTTGAATCTAATTAATTAAGGTTAAATTATACTAAATTATTAATTTTGATTCGTTTTAGTATCTAAATTTTATTTTTTTAAACTATACATAAAATTTAATTTTTATTTTATTTTAGTAATTCTATTCAAAATTTATTGCTAAGTTCTGAATTTTTTTTAAAGTTGAGGTATTAAAATGAATTAAAACTGATAGTTTAAGAATTAAAAACTTTAAGTTTTTAACGACAATATACTAAAATTAAGTAAAAACTAAATGTTAGGTATGACTTTGAAAAAACTGAAAGTCTAGATATTAAAACATACACAAAATGATAGTTTTATTGTAAATGCATAATTTACCCATTAATTAAATGCAAAGAATTTAGCATCAGAAGAAAACTGAAATGGCCCTCTCTTTGGAACTTAATCCCACTCTCTCTTTCCATCACTAGGATAGATCAATCTGCTTTATTAAAATTCGAAATAAATATTAAAAAAATGATTTAATTCGCTCAATTGGTTGTTTTTTAAAGGTTAAACTACATTTGATACCATCAAATTTTAAGCGATGACTCGTTATACCACCGAACTTTTAATTTTATCAATCTTAGTACTAATTTTTTCTTTTATGTTTGATTATGTCACTCTACCGTTAATGATTTAATGGGACGATGACATGACAGCTACATGCCGTGATGTTGTTGATGTGGTTACTTCTCCAAAACGACACCGTTTTGGTGCAACTATTTTGATTCCCAAAAAGCCCAAATCGATGTCATTTTATTTGAAAAAAATATTAAAATGTTGTGTTTGGAGGATTGAACTCTAGACCTATTAAAGCAATGCACAAAGCTTACAAACTTCAAATAATCACCTCCCATTGTGGACCGCCATCGACCATTTAAATAATAATAAAATTATTTTTATATTAGATAATAATAAAAATGTCGCATCATATAAAAATAATAATAAAATAATTTATAGTGATCAAAATAGAAACAATTTAAAAGTTTGGTACGCAAATTAAAAAAATTAAAAATAAAATGAGTAAAATAGGAGATAGAATAAAATTAAGTGAAATAATATATTTTACCCTATAACTAAAAATAACTAGATTTGTCAAGTAAAGATTTAAGAGGCTGTTTGTTTGGCTCTGAATGGAATCATTCAGTGCTGAATGTTGAACATTCAGACGTTTGTTTCTCATCTCTAAATGATTTAATATTAAATCATTCAACACTAAAGTACATTTATGAATGATTCAGAGCCATTATCAAACAGCATATCACATTCTGAACTAATTCATACAGAACATCTGAATCATTCAACGTTTAATTATTCTGAAGTAAACAAACAGCCCATAAGATTTTCTTTTTTCTTTCTCACTAGTTTGTTATCCATTTCGTCTCGTCCATGCAAATTTAGAAAACGTTCATATGACGTCATTTCAAACTCTGCGTTTTACAAATTCATCTTTAAATAGATTATTTAGCAAACTGAACCTCCTGCAAATCCTCAGCTGCAAGCCCAGAGTTAAAAGCAAACTAAGTAATTATGACGAGTTCACCACAAATCACAACAAAGGAAGAGGAAGATTGCTTACGGGCTATTCAAATTGCTAAGTCAACAGTGCTTCCTTTTGCTCTTAAAAACGCCGTCGACCTTGATTTGCTGGAGATTATAGCTAAATCAGGTCCAGGCTCTAAGGTGTCGGCTGCGGAGATTGTGTCGAAACTTCCAGCTAAGAACCCTAATGCTCCCAATATCTTCGACCGTATCCTTCGATATCTTACGGCTTCTTCCATCTTAGATTGCGATCTTGTCACCGATCAATATGGAAATACGACGAGAAGGTACGGTATTTCCTCAATCGGAAGATATTTTCTTCAAAATGAAGATGGAATTTCTCTAGTTTCAGATTTGAACGGGTTTGCGAGTACTGTTGGTTAGTCTTCTTTTTCTTTGCGAATTTATGATTTTGGAGAATTACTTTGTTAGTTTAGTAATTTTATCCTTGAAGTTTTGAGGTTATATATGATAAATATTCCATGGGTAAACTACAACGTTAATCAGTGAACTTTGACAGTGTTTTCATTTTGGTGATTGAACTAAACAAAATCAATTAAAGCACAAGCCTTTTTGAAATTGTTTTTTAATCGTTCGGCCTGTAAGTTCTTTAACGTGCCGTTATGACTTATGATGTTGCGCTTTATTTTTTATACTCCCAAAAGATCCTAACTAAAATCGACATTAAGGTCGCTTGTTTGACAGAAAATATATTTTAAAAAATAAATTCCGTAAAATAAATTATATTTTTTAAATTTTTTTTAAAAAATTCATTTTACAACGTTTGAATAATGTTGTATAATTCATTTTCCAATTATTTGTAATTTTTTAATTTTTTTTATTATAAACATCAAATATAATAAATACTATAATTTATTAACAAAATAATAATAATATTTTTAAAATATTAGAATAATTTATTTATTATTATTTATGTCAATATTATTATTGAAATATTATATCTACAATTTTATAAATAAAAATATTAAGATTATTATATTTCAATAAAAAGTATTATAAAGTATACTAATTTTTAAATAAGAATAATATATTATTAATTATATTAATTACTTATTAAAAGAGTAATATTATTAAAATATTGAAAAATTAATATTAAAAGAAGAATATATATTTTATTTTAAGGATTATATTTTAAATATTCAACAATTCAATAATATTATTTTTATGAAATTAATAAATATATTAATTTTATTAATAATTTATTATATATTATTAAAATAAAATGCAATATTATATATTATAATATAATTATAACAATAAAATATAATAATATTACTAAAATTATAAAAAAATATTTTAATAATTAATATTTTATTAAAATGATACTAAAATAACATATTAATATTAAATATATAAAATAATAATGTTTTGAGTGTTTATGCTTTAAAGTGAAAAGTTCGTAAAATTACTTATAGACCATAAGTCATTTTTTTTCATAAAATGGAAAAGAAATTCAATTGACCAAGAAAATGAATTTACATTAATCATTTGTTTTTCGCTAACCAAACACTGGAAAATGAGGAAAACATTTTTCGAAAAGCCAATTACAAGGAAATAAACAAACCCTAAAACTTTCCTTTCTCTCTCTCTCTTGTATCTTAAAGTTATTTTAAAATCGAAAAAAATCAAAATAAAATTCCAACATTCTATTTAGAGATGAGATGAAAACAATTATAAAAAAACTTTGACATCTCTAAAATTTTGGATAATTTGTATCACTTCATTAAAAAATAAATCATTTAAGCTTTTTAATATTTTTAGAAATTCTCACAAAGTCTTGATATTTTTTTTAATGTTTTTAATTAAAATTCTTAAAAATTGTTATTCTTCTACTAAGCTTCTCAAAGTTTTTTTTAAATCTCATTAGGTTCCTTAATTTTCTAATTTTTTTATTAAACCTCCAAAAAAGTTGATTGTTTTTTGAATCTTTGTGAGTTTAAGAAAGACTATGAGAAAATCTAAACTAATAGAATGATAGAGGACGATAAGACAAGTTCATCGATATTTAGAATGATGAAAAAAGATGTCAGATAACAGTAGTGAATGCAAATGGGGGAACATAACTGTGGAGAAGAAGACAAAGTCACTTAAGATTTTAAAACATTTTTTGATTTTTTCATCAATAGGTTATTTTAGATTAAACAATCGGGTGATTAAGAAACAAATTCGAAAGATTTATAGCTATAATATACATATATATATATATATATAGTTCAATGTTGGGACGAACACAAGACTTTATGTTTGGAGATATGAACATATTAAATTTTAAGGAAGCAAGAACTTATAAAATTTTAGAGGAGTGGAAACATATTTCAATAGAAAATATATATATATATATATATATATATATATATATATATATATATATATATAAGAATTTAAAACTTTTATAGGAACAACTCCGTCCCTGAATCTGTTCAATGACCAAAATGAAAATTTGGTCAAAATTCATTATAAATTAACGTAGCTTACCAATATTTAATTCGATATTGGTCGGTCCTTTACCCACAAACTTTCAATCTTCTAAGTTCTAAAGTAATAAATGTCATAAATTATGTGTAGGAACTAGGAATTCTTTGAAGGGTGCAATGTTAGAAGGTAGGTTATCACCATTTGAGAGGGTAGTTGGGGCAGACTTCTTCGAGGTGCTTGCAAAAGATACAAAGTTATCCAATAATTTCAACCAAACCTTGTCAACCCACACTACCATTATCATGAACAAAGTCCTACAAGGGATTTGAAGGCTTAACTCAAGCGATCGATGTGGGAGGGGGATTGGGCACTAATCTTAAGCTCATTCTTTCAAAGTATCCACAAATTAAGGGCTTCAACTTTGATTAAATTAATTAAATCATTCGAATTTTAAATCGATTTTATTTAATTATAGTAAATGTAACACATTTTAGTATGATTGGTTTAGTGTATTCTTCATGATTGGGGAGACGAAGAATGCTTGAAATTGTTACGAAGCATTATCAGAAAGTGGAAAAGTTGTATCAGTAGAACCGTTAATGCCGAACCTGCCCACCACCACCACTGACACGGTCACTGCTACAACACTCAATACCGATGTCTCTCAATGTTACTCTTGTGTCCTGCTGCAAAGGAAAGGACACTGAAAAGAGTTCCACACATTAGCCATTCAAGCCGTTTTCTCTGCTTTGAAACCTATTTGTCCTGCTTGTAATTATTGGGTCATGGAATTGTTCAAGAACGTCAACAATTAACCGCAATAATCCTCCATGTTATTTTAATATATCATGTACGTACTGAAGTATCGCGTTTATTCAGTCAAACTTTATTATTAAATAAAATCTGATTATGTAATCTAATATTATTCAGTCAAATTATGGTACATTTTCAATGTACTTGCCTAATTTATTATTGCCAGAATTCTTTAATCCAGGCTCAATATACTCCATGAGTTCTCAAAGTTTTGATGTGCATGCCATGATTATAGAGTTCGTATAAACACGATAATATAAATATAACAAACACCACGTAAATATATTGATTATCAGTATTATGTTAAGTCGTTTTGATTTCACAATTGAACTTCTTTCCAGGATTCAATAATTTTCGATTTAAGTCGTTTTGATTTCACAATTGAACTTCTTTCCAGGATTCAATAATTTTCGATAGAAACTCCAAGTTCTTCACACATTATAGTAGGTTTAGCTTTCTTTCAACTGGCAATGAAACCAAAAAGATCATCATATGCAGTAAAGTTACACCACAAAAGATGCAAACGGAAGACTTTAAAGTTGTTGTCTGACAAGCATGCTTTAGCTTTTTCTACTCTTTAATTTTTATGAATTTGCTGGAATTCTTTGGGGATGTTTTTAGTTCCACTACTTCAAATTCCATTAGTTACATGATACGGTAATGGCTATATTACCTATTGGAACTTATATTATCCGGACTCGGATGTGAGTGTTACATAAAAGGTTATATTTAATACGAGTATCGGTTTTTTTTTATCTTCTTTAAAGAAAATGAAGAGTCCAGATAACAACGACATACGAGTTTACACCGCAGCTAAAAGGCGGCGACTGTTTTATTAGCTAAAGCAAGAAGGAAGTCTCTGTAATCACCGGAGGGAATGCTTTCACATATGGCTTCTCTCGTTTCAACTCCGAATTTTGCTTTGAAAACCCTTAGAATTTCATCCATTTCCATCTCGGATCTTCTCACCATCACTCGTGTTACGGCTCCTGTATCAGCTGTCATCCCTTTAATGCTTGCGAACAAAACCTGTAATCAGTCAAGCAGGAAACATTATGTTACTCGGATTCGAGTATGGAATATTTGGTACGAGTATGTATCAATGGACTTATTGCGGTTATATTACCTTTGCATAATAGTTAGGTGGGTTGCAAATACATTTTACGACCATCTTTAATGCATCCTTAAACTCCCCAGAATTGGCATCAAAGATTGACTGAGAAATACAGAAGGAATCGATAAGTTTTTCCTTCACTATCGGAACAGACTAAGAAGACTGCAAAAAAGGAACAAATGTTACCTTTGTGTAATCATGCCCATAGATGTGTTTATAGAAAGAGAATGTGAGCTTAAGATGTGGAATGCTTCTTTTAGTGAAAATCTCAAGCACAAGGCCTTCGTCAATGGCGCCAGGGCTTCCTTCCCCTGTCTCGTAAAGCCTCCTCGCATCGCATTTCGCTGTATGTTGGCTAACATCTGCCTGGTGTGCCTCATGCGATGTGGATAATGCAACCGGAATCTGCCAATAAAAACATAGATGAATCGGTGGTATCGTTTTTTTTATGTTTCACCCAATTTTCTCCGAGCGGATGTGTGTCGGAGTCGGACACGGATGTCCGACACAGAAAAAAAGGGCGAAAATTTACCTTCTGGTAGGGATGGGGAGGCTCAATATTGATGATATCCTGGTCCAAATGCGTTTTATACTTGGAGTGATAAGCTTGTTTAATAAGTGCAATATGACTTGATTTTCGTCCCACGAAAATTTCAACAAGAGCCCAATAATTAGTATCATCTTGCAGAAGAGCTTCGCGGGCAACAATGGCGTCACGTTCGTGAGGATCGAGCATCCAAAGGGACAAAGCTGCGGAAGTTTTGGGCGAAACCACCTGGCTGACCACGATGGCTAGTTTTTTTCAGCAGAGTTATCAAATCTTCCCCGTACATTTCCATGTAAGTCTCTCTGATTCGCCAGCATTCAAGCGCATGTGGCTTGCTGTGCGAGAAGGATCCTTACCTGATGTAGATTCAGCATTGGCGCTATTGAAGAAGACTGGTGGGATCATCAATTCTAGGAACACTTTTGGCCTGACTCCTCTCCACATTGCAACTTGGAGAAACCACATTCCCATTATTCAGAGGCTTCTTGCAGCTGGTGCTGATCCTGAAGCTAGGGTGTGTAATCCTTCTCATCTCTTAATTGATCTGAACGTGTTCAAGTTCGTAATAGATGGTTATCGAGTATCCTTCTCGGAATGTCTATAATACTGTGTTAAACATTATGTACAATCCTCTTTTCATAGATGTATATTTTCAGGATGGAGAATCTGGATGGAGTAGTCTTCACAGGGCTCTGAATTTTGGTCATCTTGCTGTAGCAAGTGTTCTCCTGCAGTCCCATGCTTCTATTACATTGGAAGATTCAACTGCTAGAACACCTATAGATCTCCTTTCTGGGCCTGTGATGAAGGTTTTCGAAAGTGGGCTTGATTCAGGTGCCTCCTACTGTCTTTACTTTGTTGGGAAACATTTGATTGTTTTATGCAAATCAAATCTACCCGTTTTAAAGTATAACAATTTTCCTTGTGTTTTTAGTAGCTATTGGGGTTTTTAGCTGGGGAAGTGGTGTAAACTATCAACTTGGAACTGGAAATGCTCATATACAAAAGTTACCATGCAAACTTGATTCGCTTTATGGCTCCATAATCAAGTTAATTTCTGCTGCTAAATTCCATAGTGTAGCTGTTACTGCTCATGGAAAAGTCTACACGTGGGGTTTTGGAAGGGGAGGCTGTCTCGGGCACCCTGACTTAGACATCCATAGGTAAACGACTTCTCTTACTTTTGAACGACACAAAGCCTTAGCTGCTTTAATGATTCAAGAAGGAACACTTGAGTAAAATTTAAGCTTTGAGAACTCTATATGTGGAATTCTGTTGGTTTAAAATTTTTGTCATCTTTTTCTTGGATCGGAATGCCATACTGAAATTATTTTAAAGTTTGGGAGAATTTTATTTATTATTTTTATTTTGGGTCAATAATAATAAACCAATTATTTTATCTTCTATATTTTTCAGTGGTCAAGCTGCAATTATCACTCCCCGCCAAGTGAGTTGTGGTTTGGGCACTCGTCAGGTGAAAGCAATTGCTGCAGCTAAACATCACACTGTAGTTGTTTCCCAATGCGAAAATTTCCTTGATTGCATTAATTGTTCAAACAAATCAAGTACTAATTGACAAGAAATGCAGAAGTAGACTTCATCTTGCACTGTGCAGAGGGTCAGTTGGGTTATACATCCGAGGATACCCAACCAACACCACGTAGAGAAAGTTCACTTAAATCAAGAATACTTGCTGTTGCGAATAAGCACACTGCCGTTGTTTCCGACTCTGGTGAAGTTTTCACTTGGGGCTGCAACCGGGAGGGTCAACTTGGTTATGGGACCTCTAATTCAGCATCAAATTACACACCAAGAATAGTTGAGTACGCTCAAAGGCAAGGTCTTTAAGAGTGTTGCAACTGCAAAATATCACAATTGCATTGGGAGCTGATGGAGAGGTAAATATGCTATCACCTTCTATAATTGATAATTAGATTAATGTCTACTTGTACTATTTCTAAATCCCGTGTATTTGAATTTGAAATGAATGAATGAAAGTTGCGTTTTCACCTGCTATTGTAGGATGAGAGTATATTTTTTTAGCACACGGGGCTAACCACCGTAAAACTTGTATGGTAGATATATACTTGGGGTCATCGACTTGTTACACCTAGACCTGTTGCAACCCGGTTACAGTGTTAAGAGGGCTACTTCAGTTTCAGTCGGTGAAACTCATCTTTTGACTATTGTTTTTCTCTACCACCCTGTTTATCATCCCAATATGCCCCAGAGTGATCAGGCACCAAAGTTGGAATTCAATGATGAAGTAGAAGAATTTGACGAGGAGTTTTTGTTTAATGATTCAGAGCCGAGCAGTATGAGATCATCCGTACATAAAAATGATTCTGAGAAGACCATTCCGAGCTTAAAGAGTCTTTGTGAGAAAGTGGCAGCAAAGTGTCTAATGGATCCACAAAATGCAATTCAACTACTTGAAATTGCGGAGTCACTTGGAGCTGACGATCTAAGCATTGTGAGGTAATATCCTCAGTGGTCTTAACAATTATTGGGAGAAACTTTTTCTTATATTCTTCAGAAGTCTTTGGTTTGGACATTCTTATGATAGTATACCAGAATTTGAATGCAGTAAGGCTTAAGTCTTTTTTTTTTTGGTGGTGAGTCAGGAGTGTGTCATGATGAAACATGCGTTGACTATGAAGTCATTTTGACTTCTTGAACGCAGGATATTGTCATTTGTAACTTGGACTATATCTTAATCGTCTCATCGCCAGCTTTTGCAAGTGCATCGCCAGATGTTCTAGCTAATCTTGAGAAGTCATTAGACTTGAGATCATCAGAATCATGGAGTTACCGAAGGCTTCCCACTCCTACTGCTACCTATTCGGTTATCATCTATAGTGACGAGGAGGATGGTGAAAGTGAGGTTCTGAGAACCCGTGACAACAAGAATATAACATGCTTTATGAATGGAGGAAACAGATTGGGCTTTTTTCTGCAACCTAATGTTGATCCTAATCAAGGAATTTCTGAACAAGTTCAAGCTTTACGGAAGAAGTTGCAGCAGATCGAGGTGCTTGAAATGAAGCAGTTGGGTGGATATGTCCTTGACAACCAACAACTTGCAAAGCTGCAGAGAAAACCAGCTCTTGAAAATTCTCTCACCGATATTGGTATTCCAGTTGAAAAATCTCAGTTGAAAGGATCTTGTTCAGTTCCAATAGATGCGAAAGGAAATAAAAAGTCTGAGGTTTCAAGAAAACAGAGGAGGAAGAGCAAATAAAGGGCAGCTCAAGTTGAGGAAGTCTCGGGTTTTAGTACTAGTGACATAGAACCAAACAATGTGAAGGACTTTTCCGATATTGAAATCCCTCAAGTTTTAACAAATAAGGTAAACTCAATATG